GGTTGTATCTTTTCATTTCTGCCGCACTTGAAATAGTCTTCCAGTCTCCCACAATGTACGAAACGTTCCATGTACCTAAAAAAATGGTTGCTCTGGTTGTCAGAAGAGGCATCGGCCCCGTGACTTCCGAGGGGGACGCGGCTTTCATCACGAGACGTCATAATTCTTCCCAACTCCCAGGGCAGAGTTTAAAATGGTTTGAATTATTTTTCTGGTTAGCGTTTTTTTGGCAAGTTAGATTTCAACGGAATGGGGCCGCCAACCCCAGTCCAACCCTCCTCCTTTATCCGGGCTTGGGACCGGCAGTAGCCCCTAAGGTTCTACTGGCGGAGTTGTTTATGGCTATTAATACTTTTTTTCTTTCCTCTAGACTAAAACTTTACGCATCACGTATCATCTAGTTAAGGCGTATAATTTGTGAGGGAAAAAATTTTGAAACATTGAATAAAACAAATTTCCACTGTTCTGAATTATCGATTATGTCTGTTTTTTATTTCATACGTACATACTACACATAAAGCAGTGAGTGCATGAAGATGGAAATTGATTTTTAATGATTAATGCTGTTTATTTTGTATGAATCGATCAATCGACTTATGAATATACAATCTGTAATTATGATTAGGATGTTAAATGACTTGTGCTTGGTGAGCAGCACTGACCCCCTCCGCTCACCGGAATCGAACCCAAGACCTGCACTAGGACGGAACGGTAGTCCAATGTTCTCAGGATTCTAATGATGGTCGTCTAACAATGGTCGATCCATTACTTCAGTCTAACTTAACAATCTCCAAAACGCTCTAATGAAGAATGTATAGAACCTCTCTGGGGTTACTGCCAGTCTCATGACTAAAGAAAAAGAGGAGAGTTGGGCGTGGGTTGAGCGACTGTATCCTGTAGAAAAGTAACTTACTGAAAAAGCGCTAACCAAGAAAACTAAAAAAGGACTAAAGGATGAAAGGAGGGATTACATCATAAAGTGATCCGTAATTGTATACACCAAAATGTAGTTATGTAATAATCCAAGAGTTGTAAGAATAGGGGGAATGAGAATATTAGAAAGGTCAAATAAACGATAGATAATTTTCCATGTTACAGATATAAAGAAAATATAAAACGCTAGGGTTATGGTAACAATAAAATAATAATCATGACAGTACTTACTAAATTACTTACTCACTTACCTACTTTACTTACTTACTTACTTACTTATGCACTGACTTACTTACTTACTTACTTACTTACTTACTTACTTACCAACTTACTTACTCACTTACTTACTTACTTACTTAGTTACTCACTTACTTATGCACTTATGCACTTACTTACTTATGCACTTACTTACTTAATTACTTACTTACTTACTTATGCACTTACTTACTTAATTACTTACTTACTTACGCACTTACGCACTTACGCACTCACGCACTTACGTACCTACCTACGCCTGATACCCCCAATGGAGAAAAGGCGGCCGAACAGTATTCTCAAACTTTCTCTAATCTCAACCTGACTTTCCAGTTCTGTCCAATTTTTGTGCATTCTTCTCGTGTTTGTTTTCATTTCTCGGTGTAATGTGTTTTTTGGCCTTCCCTGGTTTATTTTTTACTTTGACCTTGAGGGTTCCAATTGAAGGCTCGTCTTAATCATGACAGTTGGTAGGGGATAACAACAAATGACTACTTTTTGCTTATATTGATATGGAATTAGTTGTTCATTACTGAAATCATGAATCAATCATTGTTAGACCATCATCAGAAGAAACCCGTAAGCAATGGATGACCATTTCGTCCCTAGTATGGGTCTCATCGGCAATGAACCTCCACGATCGCTGCTGTGATTCAAGGCTTTGTCAAGAGTGTTTAATGAAGTCAAATAATTATTCTCACGTTTCGGATTCTTATTTCAAATTTTAACTAGAAAATCTTCAGAATTGATGAATTGTAGAATAAAAACGCATTGCGCCATGGCTGATGTCAGTTTGTGATGAAAACACCAATCGTAATTCGAAAAATGAAACTCAGAACTATGGCTTGACTTTTATTGTCATCTCAGTCACGTATTCACTTTGGAACTACGACAATTGTCTCTTAAATCTAGCAGCTAGCGATCCCTGTCCATATAGCTTATTGGCAGCTACCCTCTGAAAACAGTCGATGAAACTGAGCATAATCATGGATAGATTGACGTTAGGCATTAGCGCCGTCGGATACTGTCTCACTGATCACCAAGTTGGCAATTCGTGCGCGAGGGTCGTAGATGCGTACTGAGGAAAAATCAGCCGTTCAGTGCTTCCAGCTTTCCGCTGGTGGTCTAACATTAATCGATTCATGATTTCAATGATCTCATCAGTCGGCGATAAAAACTCTGTGAACATCGACCCTGCCATATGGAATAAGTTGACGTGTGTGAGCTGTTGAGTGTTCGACAACTGGGCAGAGTTTCTTGATTGGCTGTTAGAAGTTTTTGAAGTTCATCAGGATATTACACGTTTACTTTCAGATATTAGTGCTATTATTATTATTATTTGTGTATACTCAAATCTGTCAGTTATACATAATTTTCGTTTATTAATTTTGTACTACATTAACAACTAGAATTACACTTTTGTACAGTGCATAATTGTCATAAAATAAGCAATCCCTATTTTGTATTTTTCTATCTGTCATAAAACTCTACGCAGGAGAAACTAACACGAACCCATTAACGTAAACAAGTTCTAAAAGTTTAAAAGATTTATATTTTCTCTGACTTCTTCGTCAACAGTTTTTTCTTTTAATTAGAGTTATGGAGATTAGTGTTTGTACACGTCGAAATCGTCAATCAATCATTGTTAGATCACCATCCCAAACCTAGAGGAACTGGACGGCCGTTTTGTCTTAGTACACGACCTATCAGCAGTGCGCATCCACGACTCCCACCACTTTGAGAAGTCGACTCCAGGACCTTCGGCCTAGCGCGCGAATGCCTAACCTCTGGACCACTGGGCTGGCATCTATCGGTGTTGATGTCTAACTCTGATCAAACTCGAGATTTTGCGTGACCTCACCTATTTGTCTACACTCAACGTTCCTGGGTTCGAATCCTGTGAGGTGTAAGAGTCGTGGATACGGACTGCTTCCTTTTTTAATTTTGAAAATTTCTCAGCTGACTGTAACACATCACTCTACATAGTATACAGATTTTCAGTGATGCATAAACTGACCCTTTGCTCTTGTTTTCTTTTCTCTCTTCAGGTAATCAACATTCATTGTTTCAATCAAATTGAGGATTTTCATTTTTCCTCGCCTTAAAACAGACAAAAAAACTATGCAATTCAAACTAAAAAGTTTCTAAAAAACGAAAATTTCCACAATGGATTCTGAGAATCGTGTTATTTTAAATGTTGGCGGTATACGGCATGAAACTTATAAAGCAACATTGAAAAAAATACCAGCTACTCGATTGTCAAAATTAACTGAAGCTGTTGCGAATTATGATCCAATTTTAAATGAATACTTTTTTGATCGTCACCCGGGTGTTTTCAATCAAATCTTAAATTATTATCGTACTGGTAAACTGCATTATCCTACAGATGTATGTGGACCATTATTTGAAGAAGAGCTGGAATTTTGGGGTTTAGATGCAAATCAAGTAAGTTATTTTTTTGAATTTTTTGTTGTTGTGAATTTCATAATAAATAAAAAAACTTTGATATTTATAAAGATTTAAATTTCGTGAAATAATCTTGTGTTATTGAACATTGAAGCACATGATATAGTGAGCCAATCAGAATTGGCCAAACGAGGTCATTTGATGACTGTTGAAGGACAGATATACATATCATTGGTCAAGAATCGGCTTCATTTTATAAGGAGGTGGTGAGAAGACTGAGGCAGGCGAGGAAGATTGTATTATGCAAGCTTACACTCTAAGTTAGTTAAAAACGAAAACATTACATTGAATACTCTATTTGTACACCATCTTTGAGTCGTGACTTCCAACGCTTCATCCTTCTTCCATTCCTGTTGGTACTCCATTCACTTCTTGCTTTTGCTCCATTTGCTTTCTGTTTTCCTCTTCTGACCGTGAGACTTCTTCTTTCACATCCCTTCTTATACTACTTATATCGTTCGTATAAGTAGCACACACCACAGTGGAATATATTTATGTATATACGAGTATTCGTACATACCATTTTTGTAGCCAAATAGATTTTTTATTCTGCTCTTGTATTCTCACTCAAGGAGTCAGTATTAGATCGAGGGGTGGTTAGCGTGTATCGCGATCAGATCACCCGACTCGCACATCATTATGAAGCTAATATAGATATCAAATCGGAACAGAGAAATAATTTATGAAAGGATCAAAAGTATAAGAGGGTAAATGAATTTCAACTGCACTAGGGAATAATTCTCATAAAGTCAAACCGGCTCGTATACTAATGGACAAAATAACACAAAAACATTGAGATTAATTTCAGTTTGAAATGGTTTGGATTAGTCTGTTGTTGATAATTTGACTGAACTTTCATCAGTATCGATTACTGAATGGGAATCCTAAACTTATTGTCTTCATATAACGATTAGAGTTTATAAAGAGTACATCGAATTCGAGTAGCAGCGGAATCAAGGATGAACATCTTGTAGTGCCTCTACATATATTCGAGTTCGCTTACATTTAATGTGGTTAAGCCGTTCCGATTAATTTATTTAACCAAGCCATTTGTATTGAAACAATTTATATGTACCATTTGTTCTTCTTATTGTCTGGTTTGTATGAGCTCACATGACGTGTCCCACTTGTGATTTGACCTTGTCAACTATTCGTCACTTTTATTCATGTGTGCCTATTTCGCTTGTGGCATGTCTGTCTTCTATTTGTCTGACTATATATTCTTAGTCATGTTCTGTCTCTTTGAGTTGGCTCATTAGCCTCGTCCAACGCACTTCGCCTCTTCGTCCGCTTCTTTTACCCATTCGTTTGTATTGTAATCCTAGGAGTTTGCTCACTCGCCTTCTCCGAATCACTTCATTCGTTCATTCGCCTATTCACTCACTCGGTTGACTGCTTTCCGGCGCTCGCATGACGATTTTATCTTATAGCGCTTGTAGTCTGCTGTTCTACTTGTGGTGTGTCAAAAATAAACGTATTCAACATTACGAGTTTAGCTTCTGATTTATAAACCGTCAGACGCTATTTAGTAACGAGTGTCTGGACGAGCTAATTACTGAGCTTAGGAACACGTAGTAAATCGACACACTACAATCTCTTCCTTTTTATGACTAGTTAGCTAGACGCACTTGCTCTGACTCACAAATGCCTAATCATCAACAGAGACTGAATAAATTTTAGTCAAACTATCTACAACGAATTGAATTCAACCACATACCCACCACACACACCTAAATGGCTATCTGGAATCAAGGTAGATAATTTGATAGCTTTCGATGAAGATAACAGTACTGGGTTCGAGTTCCGGATTGAAAATCAACTCTGAATTAAATGGCAAGTACATCAAGCCAATGACGAATCTGAAATAAGATAACATAGATTCCATTGCTTGTCATATTCTATTTTAGACGTTGAATGCTAATCAAAATCACCTTGAAAGATTATTTAAATCCAATAGTTATAAATAGAAAGTTTTTAGTCGCAAAAATGATCAGTTTTTCAAAAGCTGTTTAAAACACCAACTAATTGAACATTGATTTCTTATTCACAATCCAATAATCAATATTTTCTGTAAAATAACAATTTTACGGTGATCGATATCAAAGTTCTAGGAAGAAAATCTGAACATTGAATATTTATCGAATTTTTAACTCGATCTCTACATACTACTACTACTACTACTCATATTACTAAATTGTTATACGGTAATTTTCATGTGAATCTGATTGAAATACTGTATGACAAGTTGGAATTGTCAATTTGAATAAAACTAGACGATTTTACGTTTCCCTTAAATTCGAATTCTTTTAGTTGTATCTTCGAGATATGTAGTTACCTCTTAAACTAAGTACATCAAAGCTTTGATCTTTGCTCTGTCAATCAAGATAGGGTGTGTGTATACTAATAATATGTTGAGCCCACAGGGCTTGTCCTCGTTTTCAGACAAGCTAATTAGCATTTATTCTATTCGAGTTACGATTCACACATCCCTTCGCCTACATCAATTAGTTGTTTTTATTTGGAGTACTTGTGTGTGTGTGTGTGTGTGCGGACGCTCATGGCTTATCACATCGCTTATCACATGGTTAGCCTATTCTTATCTGACTAGAAATAGATCGTCATGTCTCATTACCATAGAATCGGCTTATTCGTCTTCTCATCCGAATGTTTGTCTGCTTATGTGAATGGATGGAATAAATTCATCCAACTAAGTTCACGTTAGGCTGGACTCACCAAAGAATAATGTACGTAAAGTAGTTTAGTTTTTACAAACGAGCGACACAGTCATTACCAACTAGATGAAGGTGGTAGGGTCAATTGAACTATATAGAAGTTAGTTAATTAGTTGGTGACACAACGTTTAAATGATTGAAAATTAAAACTAAGGATAAACGTAAATAAATGAATCATTGTTAGAGACCACCATTAGAAACATGGAAGCACTGGACCATCATTTCGTTCTGGCATGGGACTCATCAACAGGTTTCATCATGACTCTTGTCAGGAACTTTGTTCTCACGAGCGAATGCTTACGTTCAAGGCCAGCGAGTCGGCATTCAACGGTGTTAATATCTAGCTTCAACCAATTCAAACAATTGCGTAACCTCACTGATTAGCTTCAGTAGTTACAGACTACACTCGACAGGGTTGAGGTCCACTAGTCACCTACTTTTCACTAGTATTCTGAGAATCTCCTCACGAAGCAGTGAAACATGGTAGTTCCGTCCTGGTATGAGACCCATCAGCAGTGCTCATCTACGACTCTGCTCCCAGCGGGACTCGAACCCAGAACCTTTGTTCTCAAAAGTGAACGCTACACCTCTAGATCACTGAGTCGGCATCCAAGGGTGTTAACGACTAACTTCAATAAACTCAAGCTATTGCGCAACCTCACCCATTATCTTCGGTAGTTACTGCCGTCAGGGTTGAACTCTACTGGTCACATTTCACTAGAACTCAGAGAATTCCCTGGTGACGTTAGTCACCAGTGAGCACGTTGTACGATTTTTCATGATAGAATTAAATTTATTATTTCAGTAATAAACAACCACTGCCATCACTCTATAATGAATAAACCTACATTATCAGCGAATCAATTTGAATAGGGTACATATGTCAGTAGAAATAAGAATTGAAATTGAATGTAAATATAACTGTATCGTTATTCAGATAATGATAAGATTAGGATTCGAGATTAAAATGTTAATAAAATTGAAGTTTTAGAAAAGTTTAAAGGAAGTAAAAGAAGAAAGGTTGTGCGACATGTAATTGTGTCTATGTAGAAAAGTCAGGGTCGATTACGATGCTGTGTATAAGTGTATATATATTTATATATAAACGTTGGATTCAAGTGGTGTCCGTCAGGGATGTCCACTTTCTTCATTTTTGTTTAATGTTGTCATAGACATGCTGCTAGATCTAACCTTATCCTCGTCTGAATTTTCAGGAGTCGACTTTCTACCAGAAAAATCGCTTACTGACCTAGAATATGCCGATGACATAGTTCTATTCAGTGAAGACGCTGGTAAAATTCAGAGTCTTCTTACTACCCTGAGCAACAATCCAAACATATTCGGGATGCAGTTCTCCCCGTCGAAATGCAAAATGTTTCTTCAGGATTAGGTTTCATCGGCACCTGAACTAGTGATAGGGAGTGAATTAGTCAAGCGTGTATACCGCTTCATTTATCTGTGGAGTCTCATCTGTGCTGATGGCCTGGTAACTGAGGAAATCTCAGCTCGGATAAAAAAGGCTCGATTAACTCTTGCCAACCTGCGTCATCTATGGCGCATGCGAGATATCCACTTGTTACCCAAATGACGAGTGTACTGCACAGCAGTTCGCAGTGTCCAATGGTTAGAGACCTTGAACGACATGGCTTGAAATCATTTGCAGTGGCACAAGTGCATCCACTCTTTGTGTTCTCTCTAATTGTAACCTTCTGAATTCCTCATAATCTCTATCTTTCTCCTTCCAAATTTATTTTACTGAATTGTACTTCTCGAATCACATCTTCACTCTTTACTGCTGATAATTCTACTATCGCTATCACTTTTGGATTTGAGAACTGACGGTTGCGTCTCTATGCTGATGTGATATGGCGACCTGAACTGATGTACTTATGTACGAAGTTCTGCGTTGTATCTATCTATCTATCTATCTCAACGTTGGATCCTGGAACCATAGGATAAGTATGGTTGGATTTGGTAAATAATTTTCGATGTTAAAGTTTTATCTATGTGGTGACAGGAAAGGACAAGATGTGACAAGGTAAAACTTCTAATTACTTTCGTTTGTCCTTTAGTCAACCATGGCGTGTGATACTTCGAAGTATGATTATGCCTTTGTCCGGTTGTGTAATTCCATTGAAATGATGAATCGATCAATGTTAGACCATCATTAGAAGAAACCTGGAAGCACTGGACGGTCGTTTCATCCTTTCATGGGACTCATCAACAGTGCACATTCACGACCACTGG